GGTCTCCAGCCCCACCAGATCTTGAAACTCTCCCAACTTTTCCAGTCCTTCATTCTTCGTTGTTACTTTTTCTTCTCGTTCATTGCTGTACTGAGGATCTAGTGACTCAACTACTTTGGAGTTACCTTGATTCCCTTGTGAGCGGGAAGGAGCCGAGGCAGCACAATAATCAGTTTTGTTTTCGTCTGTGGTGGGTGTTCAGCACCATTACCTTCTTCATCATCCTCTCCTGTTTCCCCATCCACCCCTTTCCCCTCCTCCTCTTCTTCGTTCGTTTTTGAATTATCCCATTCGATTAAATGGGAGTTTGGACGTGTGTGTTGTGTTTCGGTAACAGCAGGAGTGATAATTAGGACTTTTTTTTTTTTTTTTTTTTTTTTTTTTTNTAATTGCTCCAATCTATTCGTGGGGAGCATCACGTGCTGGGAACCGGGCCCAGCGTCCCTTATAATGGAAATACATTAATGATTGACAATTGATGAAAATTTAGGATGATTGAGGATCATTTTGGATGATTTAGGATGTCAGAGTGGGTGATTGAGGTCATGAAATAGAGCTAGATGATGACTAATCAGAAATATTGTCTACTGTGACTTCTGGAACTACCCCCCGGAGATGTGACTGTGTGTGAGCCTCCTCTTTTAATTGCTTTTCCGTGGGCTCAGCAACATCTCCTGGCTCTATCTTTGTTGAGATTACGGTCACCTCTTTTACACTTTGTTCCTTCCCTTGTCCTTGTTGTACCTCCACTGTCCCAAAGGATGAAAAGACTGTTTGATTGCCGGCTAAGCTTCCATTAGCTGAACTTTCTGTATTCTGAGCATCCTCCGCCCTCAGGATACCTGACTGTACTGGTTTTCCCACACCTGAGCTCAAGAGATCACATATGAAGGACAGGAAAGATTTCATTGTCGCGAGGGATTTGGACGACGTGCAAGCGTTACCTTGCATGGATTTCAAAACTACATCTGTTGCATTGAGGGTCGGAGCGGGACCAACATTCTGCTGGTTCACACTTGGTACTTCTTTTGCACTCAGTCTAAACAATAGCAACAACAACAGACTCACTACTAGATGAACGGGCAAATGACAACAGTTGTACAATAGGACACTATTTCTCCTGACAACGACTGGGAGATACGGCCAAGATACCACCTGCAGTCAAGTACAAAGGTATGACTACTGTGTCTCAGTTTAAACAACAGCAACAACAACAGACTGACTACTAGATGTACGGGCTAAAGACAACAGYTGTACARTAGGACACTATTTCTCCTGACAACAACWGGGAGATACGGGTATGATACCGCCTGCAGTTAACTACAAATGTATGTCTACTCAAACAACAATGATGTTCAGGGACGCTGGACCCGCTTTCCAGCAGGTGGTGGTCCCCACCAATAGATGGAGCCTCCCGGACTGTGCTAGAGGTGTCTGCTCTTATCAGCACCTCAAGCATCAGCTCAGGCAGTTAAAAGCTGAAAAAAAAAAAAAAAAAAACCATGGACTCTCCTTCGATAACCTTCTCAGCAACAAGATGTAGTTCAGTGCCTGTGGAAACGATCCAGTACGAGTGTCAGTGGGAAAGACCGCTGTTAAGGATTGAGACGGTAACGAGTTGCGGCTGTCCTTGGATGTTTGCTTACTAGCAACCAGAGATGTCTGGTTGGTTGTGGGTTGGAAGTTGGAACCTCTTGATTACAATTGGCAGCAGTCGATGGAGCATCTGCTGCCAGTTAACTCCCCTTCGGAGGCCGTGCTCCAATGCACCCCTGAGACTGTCGCTGGTTTCCAAAAGAGGTACCAGGTGTCTATACGTGTCATCCATTGTTGCATCCCCGACGGTCGGCGGCCCTTGACTGGTCGGCTGCCGACCCGCCGACCGATCGGCCGGTCGGCACCTACCGGTCGGGGGTCGTCGGCA